TATATAGTTTGTGGGGTATATTTCTTATAGTTATTGAATAATTAACAAAAATTCATTTTGTTCTATCTAAAACTAATGTATGTATTTAAAAGTTAATGTTGCTATGGTGATAACCATACATACTATGATGGAACATAATGTATCAATTTTTTTTGTTCTTTCTAAAACTATTGTATGTATTTAAAACTTAATGTTGTTATGGTGATAACAATGCCACGATGGAAAACATTGGGTACGTTCAGCAGGTGTCAACAGTTGAATTAAATCAGTCAGCTAGTTGTATGAGCTTTAATACAGCGGAACGAAATCGGCTGAACAAGCAATTGAGAATTAGCAGTTCAGCATAACCTAAAACTATGGCCAACAATAATATTTTTGAAAATTTTGTGTTATTACAAGAGATAATGGATGATGATGTTGATTTTAAGGCTCATTTCATTTTATACAGTTCTGCCAGTTTTCAAAATTAAAGGGGAGAAACAAAAAATATTATATATGCTAATACTATATGCTAACATTCTATTATCTAAAAGGACACACCATACATTGAATCCCAACTTTCTTTGAACACTCATTGAGACTTCATTGGTCCAGATGACATTTTGAACAAACAGCAGATTATTTAATTTTTCTAAATATCATCTACAAAATTCTAATCTTAGATTGACATCTCCGGCACGTAAATAATGAGTTAGCCCCTATGCAGACATCGAAATTGGGACACCCTGTACTGTTTGGGTATTTACCCTGAGCCGGGGTAAGTACCCAGATAAATACCCATTTTATAAATACCTACCCGCCGGGTATTTACCCAGCGCCCATCACTGGTCATAAGTATCCATCTAAATTAACTCAACATTCATGCGTTGTTGAAGATTAGAACTGAAAACAGCAAAATGATAGAAAATAGCAAGATGTCAAGAGGATGTCCAGCTTTTAGGTATCTCTTTGATGTTAAATTTCTCTTCCTCCGTCATACTTAACCTTGAGTATCAATCTGCATCATATATGGTTCGGATATCGATGGGACCCGTTCTGACTTCTCATTACTATTCTGCATCCTCTGTAATTAGTTGGGTGCTCTTTTTGTATAGTAGAACACTAAATCGCATGTGAACGAGGCGCCATCTATCGAAATCTATTACCACTAACATTTTACACACACTAAAATGAGTTTTTCGTTAATAATAAATCTCTTAATTACTTATATCATAAATATTTATGTATGAAAAAAGTCTAACAGACGGTAATAAACCAAAATCCAGCTCCCATTGAGGAAAATTTGGTAAATCCTTGGTATGTTTTCGCTTGTTTATTTTAACTTGAACAAACCTTGAAAACAAATTTTTTTTGTTATCTAAATAAATGATTTCGAATTTTTAATTACATCTCCATAAATTGTTGAATAAGCAGCCTTGCACTATCAAACCCGAAAAGCGTCGCCAAAGCTATCCCTAAATTAAAAAAACAACCGAGTGGGCCACATAAATCGTGAGAAAACTCTTTCAATAAGTAATAATCAGCATTTTTTCCCGGATGGCTATAAGCTCGACCCTTTAAATTGAAATTATTTAAAAATTAATTTGTATTAATTAATGTTTACCCGAATAAATGTGAGATAAATAAGCGCTACATATCTATTTGCAAACAATAAAATCGAATGTTTAATAATGTAGGAGTGGTCGTAATCATGTTGGCTAGCTGGAGTTTCCATTTTTGTAAAAAAAGCGGATACCACGGGTAACCATGTAACAAACCCATAAACTTGTATAAATAGCATCACACCACTTAAAATTTTACTAAAAAGTGTTGCTTGTACAACCGTTTTTTGGTCAACACTGTACATGATATAATAAGAAAGTCGATTTCCTACGATGACCATGCATATTCCAAATAAAATTAATAAGAATCCCTAAAAAACATTAAAAAATTTGTTTTAAACGTTGTGGATCATATTTTTTGAGGTGTTACCAAAAAAACGATACAACCGTTTGTAAAAGATAAAGTAAAGAATCTTTTGTATGTTGGGACGTAATGTTCTTCTTCTCCCGTTGCGGCGTTGATGCGGGTATGTTTGGCAATTTTTACATATTCCGGTCTCAAATCTTTTTGCAAGCGAATTCGAACCACGTTCCAATTCATTCTAAGCATGTTTAAGCGTCTTTTCCAGAAGAACATTACAAAAATGCCTTAAATTTGTGGATGATAAATTAAATGATTTTTTATTAAAAAATTTACCCCAAATTGACATCAAAACGCCATAAATACTCGAAAACATGGAGTCTAAAATAACCGCTTTCTTCATATCATCACAATAATTATTGTACATCTCATATTGGCACGTGATATTATTTGAACAAACCGGACATAACGTTAAATTGCTTTTGCATATTTCTTCATCGATTACATCAAAATTTTGAAATATTGCCATTAAGAACCCAGCAATGTAAAAAATTACACCGATAGCAGCCGCAGCAGCTAAACATTTTGTGTAAAAATCCATAAAAGCGAAGTAAATCGCTATTTTGGTGCCGAAATATTTTTCGATTAAATTTAACGGCTGATTTTTATAAAAATAGGAAAAATTAGCCCAATATTTTACTAAAAGCTAACCACGAAAACGTTATTTCTTACAACACGAGTTTTATTTAATTACTTGTCTCTCTGAAAGCGGTCCTTGTTGAGTCCAATAATAAGAACCATCATGTATCGGGTAAGCAGCGGCAAATATTCCCTTTGAAAGTAATTTATCGACTCCGTAATCGTTGACTTTTTCATCAAACCAAGTTTTTGTCATTAATAGGTAAAGTAACATTGATTTTTCGGCTTTAGTTGGTTTAGTTGGTCTTAAATCCAGTAAAGTCTCCCTTATTACCCATTAAATAAAATTAAATTAATGAAAAAAATTAAAGAAAATCAACTTACGGTGCTCTTCGAAAAATACGAGAAGAATCTTTTAAATCAATTTCGGTTTGAAATATTTTCCAGTTGAATTTGGTGTCGGACGAAAAATATGGGTTAATATACGATAAATTGATGTTGTAGGAATTGCATAATTCTTGGACTAAATGGTCAGGAATTGTTAATCGTACAAATAAATATTTTGTGTAAAAAATTCCGTAATCCATAGTCAAGTCGACCCCTTTGGCAGCTAATGCGTTTAAAAAATTATTTGCCAATTTTACATTATCGTTGTTTTCTAATTTCTTGCCAGCGATTACGATTACGTAATCGACTTCTTCCGGTTTAGATGGTGTTCCCGTTTCGTTTTTCATCTGGATGGAGAATCTGATTTCTTGGATATATATATTTTTACACTAACGTGAACTAAATGGAGTAATTACGAGAACGTCTTATAAATGTCTGATTTTTGTTGACAATTTAAAATTTTTTTTTGTTTTTTTACGTTTGATTTTTTAAGGTCAATTGTAACTGCAGTTTTATACCATAGTTAATTCTTCTTAACCATCAGCTTGGAAAAGACTCGAGTGGAGAGCTTGGATGCTACATTTGAGACGGGAAACTGCTGTTGATGGTAGCGCAAGGGATTCGGAACATGTTGCAAAAAAACTTTTAGTATAAAAGTTGTAGCAAATTTTATTCTTAACAATATTGCTCTCTTTGATTTTTGCTCTCAGATACATAGATATCGAGAAAAACGTGAAAATATGCAAATTTGATGAATTTCGTTGTTTTACTAGATGTTATTGTAACACTTGGGAATTGGAACATGTTACAAAAAAACGTTTAGTATAAAAATTGTAGCAAATTTTATTCTTAACAATATTGCTCTCTTTGACTTTTGCTCTTAGATTCATCAATGTCGAGAAAAATATGAAAATTTATGTTGCTTTATACTTTTTGCAGATAACCATTAATTTGAGAAATGCTGAAGAATAATTGTACTGAAGAAAATCTAGATGTCATGCTAATTGAGTAATAATTCTGCAAACAGTATCTAGTTATTATCAGCAATATCTAGTTTTCTGCCAGTAGTATATTGTCCTTTAGCAGCAATATTTATTAACAGTCTTCTGCAATCATTGTTTAGTCTTCTATTAGTAGCATCTAATCGTCTGTCAACTACTATTGTCTTCTGCAAACAACATTTGGTCCTCCATTAGCAATATCTAGTCGTATATAAGTAGTACTTAATCTTCTGCAAGCAGAACCAGCGTTCTATCAGCAGTATCTAGCCTACTACCAGCTATATTTGTTATTCACTGGGAATGTCTAGTATTCTGTAAGCAGTGAGTAATCATCAATAGTCTTCAATACAGCTAAAGTAAATTATTTCCAGTTTGAAAATAAAATTGAAGCAACATTTGTAAACAGACACCCAAATTGGAGCTGTGGCAAGACAAATTCCTCTTCAATTTGTCATTTTTCTTTTGATATCATCAATTCAACATGTGGGTGGTCTTCCTCTACTTCTCTTATTCATTCTCTATCTCCACTCAAGCAGTTTCTTTGTCTTAGGGCTACAAGCCCTGCCCAATTCCAATTTGGTCACTAACTGAAACATAAGCATTGATCTTCTAAGTCTTTATTTTTAATAATTTAAATACACAATTGCTGTACAAAAAGCTCCAATAGTGTTTTATCCTCTACAATAATATATAAAAATATATTATTATTAAATACCTTACATCTAAATTGATTATTTACAAATTACAAGCAAAAAGTGGGAATGTTTCACTTAATCTAAGCGTTTTATAAAAAAATACAAGTCATTTAATAACTTTGTGGGCCTCCTTAACAATTAATTATTGCACCAAGCTGTGTTTCATCAAATTCTAAGTAGATCATACGTGTGTTAATAATAAATATTAAATTAAAAACATTTAATAATAATAACTTTGGTTAATTTCGCTTATTATTATTACTTTGGTTTCAAAAAAACCCCTTAATACTCATTTAATACATCATAAAATTATAAGTACTTATTATTAATTAGTTGATGATCATTTTTTTATTCTTCAGAGTTTCCTGAACAACAAGAAGTTCGATTATCCCCATTTTTCTTTCGCAAATCGATGGTATCATCACAGGAATGATTCTCATTTCGATCTGCTCGACTTTCAGCTCTTAACCAGAATTGAACTGCCATTTTAAAAGCTTCCTGAACGTTGTTAGAGCTTTTTGCTGATGTTTCAATAAAGCTTGAGATGTTATTTTCATTGCACCAAGCTTCCAACTCAATTAAAGCAACCTCTCTTTGTTCGCTAACCACATCTGACTAAAATTTTTGATTTAATTAATTAATTAAAAGGGTTCTAATAAATAATAAAACACACCTTATTTCCTACAACGATAAAAGGGAATTGGACGCTTTCTTTTACATCGGCGTAAAACAAAAATTCGTTTTTCCACATTGAGAGGTTACGAAAGCTTACTTTATCATCTATGGAGTAAGTTAAAATGCAAATATCGCTTCCTCTGTAAAATGGGGTTCGTAATGTTTTAAATCTTTCTTGTCCTGCTGTGTCCCAAATCTACACAAACTTAATTAACAATGAATTAACACAATTTAACACTTACCTGTAATGTATAAGTTTCCCCATCAATTTCGATATCTTTATTAAGGAATTCTACTCCTATTGTGTGATAAGAATGTTCATCGAAGTGATTAGAAACGAATCGATTCATCAAACAACTTTTCCCGACGCCCCCATCGCCAAGAATGACCACTTTGAGCATGGTGTTCTTGTTCGCGGGGCGCATTGTGACTCTACTGGACATTTTTGTGGTTGTTTATGATTTTATTAGTGAAACGGTGGTGGTTGATAACAAAAAAGTACTTTCCATATCGTCAGTTTTGTGAATTCCTGTGAATTACATACGGTTTTATTTTATGTGACAGTTGAGATGTCATAATCATAACCTTCAAATTTTATTACTTAAATTAAAATGGGTTCGATTAAAATTGTTTTAAATCAATTTATATTTATTTAATTAATTTATTGGATTTATTATGTTAATAATTAATTAATTTATTAATTTTTTTAGGTTGATATAGATTAGGTAGATTAATATAATTATAAATGAAGAAATTAGAATTAATTGTTTCGATTGATTCAATATTTTTATCATTGTTTGGTTGATAATTACTAGTTTGCTAAAAATAGACTGTTAATAACCAAGATTTATTATAAATAATCTGATTTATAATTAAATTGAATTAAAATAAACTAAAATAAAAACAAATTTGCTACATCAATTTTCTAAGTTAATTATTTATTAAAAAAATATTTATATGATGTATTTTTGATTCATTATAAACAATTTATATCCAAAAGATTTTCCTGCATCACCGTTAGTTTAGTTTTATATCTATAAAGGTTTTAATAAATCGATCAATTTTCTCGTGTATATAGTCGTATATTTTGAAAAAAATACAAAAGTTGCACTTTGTATAATTTCCTACGTGTATATAACGTTTATGTATATATATATATATATTATAAAAAGGAAAAATCCGGAGTAAAAACTTCGCTTATTAAGATCTAATACTGCGTAGAAGCAGCCTGGAAGGCCCCCCATTAAGTCTTATCGGTCGACACCACTCTTAATTTTTCTCCTAATTTAATTATGATTCTTGTCACAGTCAACGTGTTAAGGTTTTAATTATATCCTCGTCTCATTTAATCATTTTTTCCGATTATTTAAGTATTACAATTCGCTAAATATTACAATAAATTGGGTCATTGAAGCTCATTGGGTTCTTCTTTCGAATTCTTTTAAATAAATAGAGAGAGTTAATTGTTTTAGAGAGACTATTTACAACAATAGTCGACGAATATTTGAAATGGAATGATTAACGTGTTGGAAGTTTACAATGCTCGATTTTGGTCGTATTTTTTTTTTCTTTTTTTGATTTAATGTTTGAGCGATCCTTTTTTAATCTAATATAATTAATTAACCATCTATGTGTGTATATATATAAAAAATTAACGATTTTTTCTTTACTAATTTCTTTCTTAATCTAATAACTTCTAAATTTATTTTTTTCGTTCTCTCCTATTAATTGTATACATATTTATAATACATAATTATATACTGAGACACTTATATATGTATATAATAAAACAGTAGCAAAAAAATATATAAAACTTAAATAAAAATGAAATTACATGTGCTATTATTATAATATTGTAATGATATATACATCTTAATCGACTTTTTTTATATTTTTTTAATAAAAAAAAATAGATATTTAAAGATATTAAAGGGCTAAGTACGTATTTGCGGCTTTTTCGCCTTCTTAAAGCTATCTGGTTAAAAGGACGTGAGAAACTAATTAAAAGGAAAAAGAAATAGGAATACTAATCAATAAAAATAATAAAAAAAATAACTGAACATGAAGCAATACTGTCTGTAGATCCCACCACCGATTTTTATTCATTTTTTTCTTTTAATTATTATTCTTGTTTAAGCGTAAGGCACGATATATTCTTTTTAATTAATTTTATCTCCCCTCTTTCGTCATTTTTATATTTAGTGGTCACCGCGCAGCAGTTCCATCAACAAATTAAAACTTGGACCTTCCCCATCTTTCGTTTTTATCGTCAACAACTCTTTCCCAGCCTAAAAAATAACACAAAAATAATTAATATTCAATTAAGTTCATTAATTAACTTCTAGGTTACTATGAAAATGCTTAGAAAGTTTCTGGGGACTTTTCGACATCAATAAATGTCGTCTGGGAATCTCCAAAAATGCGTTTAGACAATTTTTGATAATTTTGGAAATTTATAGAAACGTCTGGGTCGTTAAGGAAACGTTTAAAAAGCTCTAGGTGTCTTTTTAACATCTGTAACTGTTGTTGGAGAATCTTAAAAGGTACCTAGAAGGCGTTTAGACACNAGATTTATTATGTTAATAATTAATTTATTTATTAATTGTTTTAGGTTGATGTAGATTAATATAATTATAAATGAAGAAATTAGAATTAATTGTTTCGATTGATTCAATATTTTTATTGTGACTCTTATCAATGATGTCATAATCATAACCTTCAAATTTTATTACTTAAATTAAAATGGGTTCGATTAAAATTGTTTTAAATCAATTTATATTTATTTAATTAATTTATTGGATTTATTATGTTAATAATTAATTAATTTATTAATTTTTTTAGGTTGATATAGATTAGGTAGATTAATATAATTATAAATGAAGAAATTAGAATTAATTGTTTCGATTGATTCAATATTTTTATCATTGTTTGGTTGATAATTACTAGTTTGCTAAAAATAGACTGTTAATAACCAAGATTTATTATAAATAATCTGATTTATAATTAAATTGAATTAAAATAAACTAAAATAAAAACAAATTTGCTACATCAATTTTCTAAGTTAATTATTTATTAAAAAAATATTTATATGATGTATTTTTGATTCATTATAAACAATTTATATCCAAAAGATTTTCCTGCATCACCGTTAGTTTAGTTTTATATCTATAAAGGTTTTAATAAATCGATCAATTTTCTCGTGTATATAGTCGTATATTTTGAAAAAAATACAAAAGTTGCACTTTGTATAATTTCCTACGTGTATATAACGTTTATGTATATATATATATATATTATAAAAAGGAAAAATCCGGAGTAAAAACTTCGCTTATTAAGATCTAATACTGCGTAGAAGCAGCCTGGAAGGCCCCCCATTAAGTCTTATCGGTCGACACCACTCTTAATTTTTCTCCTAATTTAATTATGATTCTTGTCACAGTCAACGTGTTAAGGTTTTAATTATATCCTCGTCTCATTTAATCATTTTTTCCGATTATTTAAGTATTACAATTCGCTAAATATTACAATAAATTGGGTCATTGAAGCTCATTGGGTTCTTCTTTCGAATTCTTTTAAATAAATAGAGAGAGTTAATTGTTTTAGAGAGACTATTTACAACAATAGTCGACGAATATTTGAAATGGAATGATTAACGTGTTGGAAGTTTACAATGCTCGATTTTGGTCGTATTTTTTTTTTCTTTTTTTGATTTAATGTTTGAGCGATCCTTTTTTAATCTAATATAATTAATTAACCATCTATGTGTGTATATATATAAAAAATTAACGATTTTTTCTTTACTAATTTCTTTCTTAATCTAATAACTTCTAAATTTATTTTTTTCGTTCTCTCCTATTAATTGTATACATATTTATAATACATAATTATATACTGAGACACTTATATATGTATATAATAAAACAGTAGCAAAAAAATATATAAAACTTAAATAAAAATGAAATTACATGTGCTATTATTATAATATTGTAATGATATATACATCTTAATCGACTTTTTTTATATTTTTTTAATAAAAAAAAATAGATATTTAAAGATATTAAAGGGCTAAGTACGTATTTGCGGCTTTTTCGCCTTCTTAAAGCTATCTGGTTAAAAGGACGTGAGAAACTAATTAAAAGGAAAAAGAAATAGGAATACTAATCAATAAAAATAATAAAAAAAATAACTGAACATGAAGCAATACTGTCTGTAGATCCCACCACCGATTTTTATTCATTTTTTTCTTTTAATTATTATTCTTGTTTAAGCGTAAGGCACGATATATTCTTTTTAATTAATTTTATCTCCCCTCTTTCGTCATTTTTATATTTAGTGGTCACCGCGCAGCAGTTCCATCAACAAATTAAAACTTGGACCTTCCCCATCTTTCGTTTTTATCGTCAACAACTCTTTCCCAGCCTAAAAAATAACACAAAAATAATTAATATTCAATTAAGTTCATTAATTAACTTCTAGGTTACTATGAAAATGCTTAGAAAGTTTCTGGGGACTTTTCGACATCAATAAATGTCGTCTGGGAATCTCCAAAAATGCGTTTAGACAATTTTTGATAATTTTGGAAATTTATAGAAACGTCTGGGTCGTTAAGGAAACGTTTAAAAAGCTCTAGGTGTCTTTTTAACATCTGTAACTGTTGTTGGAGAATCTTAAAAGGTACCTAGAAGGCATTTAGACACTTTTTAATAATTATGGAAACCCTTAAAAATGTCTGGGTAATATAGAAAAAACAATAATAGCTTCCAAAGACTTTTTGACATATATAACTGTCGTCTGGGAATCTCCAAAAGTGCCCAAAAAGCGTTTAGACACTTTTCAATAATTATGGAAACACTTAAAAATGTCTGGGTAATATAGAAAAAACAATAATAGCTTCCAAAGACTTTTTGACATCTATAACAGTCGTCTGGGAATCTCCAAAAGTACCCAAAAAGCGTTTAGACACTTTTCAATAATTATGGAAACACTTAAAAATGGCTGGTTAATTTATAAAAAACAATAATAAGCTTCCCAAGTCTTTTTGACATCAATGAGTGTCACCTGGGAATCTCCAAAAGTACCCAGAAAGTGTTTAGACACAATAATAATACCTGACAAGTTCGTTGCAACTCTGGTATTCTCAACAATAACTCCCCAAATTTCGCTGGTAAGTCGGGATAATGAACGAGGGTGTAATCTTGAAGGGCTTTTAAAGCTTTCTCTTGGGAGGCGCGAACCTTTTCGGCCTCTTTTAACTCAGATGTATCTAAATAACAAAACAAAACTTTAGTTTTTGCATAAATTAATTAATTAGAACATTACCAGAAGTTAACAAAACAATAACTTTCATCGCAACATATTCGTATTTATCGACCCTTAACCTCCGCAATTGCTCAGTAAAATTTAACATTCGCTCGATGCATGCCTGCATGCCTAAATCGCGAGCTTGTGCCAAAGTCAATGATTTCCCCAAAGATATCCGAATCTCGCCCGGATTTTCCATCGAGCGAAAACAACAAGAAAATAATAATAATTCGCACCAAGAATTTATTAAAAGGCAAATTTGATCGTCGATCTAAAATTGTTAAAAAAATTTATTTAATTAATTTAATTAGTTAATTAACTTACGGATATATTTTTAAATAACGGCAAGCTTTTACACCACTTAACAATTTTATACAGTCTATGATCAGCAATATTGCACAAATTTGCAACGAAATCCGGGTTGGTATCCGCGGAACCTGCCAAACCCGTCCCGGCCAATAATGGATGCGTTGAAAGGTTATGGATCGTGGAACCTTCCCTTGATAAAGTCCCCTCCGAGTTTAATTTGTTAAGTTCGGATTCGCTGTAATGCCATAAATGCTCCACTCCCATTATTTCCTGAAAAACATAGTTAAAATGCAAATAATAATTCATAATGAATTAACTTACTTGCAATAATGGTGGAATTTCATGTCGCGAACCCAACCTTTTACTGGATAAATGGGGGGATATCCCCACATCCGGAGGTTCCAACTTGACAGTTAAATGGGAATGTTCGCCTAAACCGTGCCTAAGATCACCTTGCGAGCTCGCGCGGAGATCCCCGTGGCCCGTTAATGAAGGAGGCAATGAATATGAACATTGATAAGTCGATCGGCCACCTCGAGTTCTATCTTCTCGTATCGCTGTTAACAAATATTGTTCAAAATTTTCATTTATTTCATTTTTAATTATATATAAAGGCGTTTAGACACTTTTTGACAATTTTAAAAATTCTAAGTAACGTCCGAATTAACTAATGAAGCTTCTAGAGGCATTTTGGCACGCTTAAATGTCTTCTGGAAATCATCAAAACTATCTAAAAGGCGTTTAGACACTTTTTGTCAATTTTGAACATTTTTAGGAACGTCTGGATAACCTAGTAAGCCAATAATACGCTTCTAGAAACATTTTGACATATTAAAAGTACCCAAAAAGCATTTAGACACTTTTTAATGATTATGGAAATCCATAAAAAGTCTTAGTTATGTAAGAAAAACATTTATGAACTTCCGGAGACTTTTTGACATCTATAATTGTCGTCTGGGAATCTCCAAAAGTACTCAGAAAACGTTTAGACACTTTTTGATAATTATGAAATTACTTGGGAAGCCTAGTAAGGCAATAAGAAGCTTGTAGCGACATTTTCACATATTTGAAAGTACCCTAAAAGCATTTAGACACTTTTTAAAGATTATGGAAATCCATAAAAATTTCTTAGTTGTGTAAAAAAACATTTATGAACTTCCGGACATGGTACTAGTTGACTAAAATCATCTGTAAATTACTTAATTATGATGAAAAAATTAAAAAATATGATTTTGGTGTTTATAAAAAGTGTTTCAAAGACACCAGAAAATAGAAAAAGCCTATGAGTGTGTGTCAAAATGATACTAATTGACTAAAATCATTTGTAAATTATCTAATTATTGTGAAAAAATTAAAAAATGTGATTTAGGTGTTTATGAAAAATGTTTCAAAGACACCAGAAAATAGAAAAATCCTATGGGTGTGTGTCAAAATGATACTAATTGACTAAAATCATTTGTAAATTACTTAATTATGGTGAAAAAATTAAAAAATGTGATTTAGGTGTTTATGAAAAATGTTTCAAAGACACCAGAAAATAGAAAAATTCTATGGGTGTGTGTCAAAATGGTACTAATCGATTGGAAATATCTTCAGCGTCTTTGGCAAAGGCAAAAGGAACTAATAAAATGAAAGGAGATGATTTGCAGGCTTTAAAATATGGGTAAAGCTGTTTATAATTACCTTCTAATTTCATTCCACATTTAAGACACTTATCGAATCGACACGCGGGACATTTTTTCCTCGTCGCAACCGTAACAGGGCAGGCAGCGCCCCGAAGACATACATAATTCTTCCGATTTTGCACAGTCCGTTTAAAGAAGCCCTTGCACGATTCGCAGCTAAAAATTCCGTAGTGAAATCCAGAAATTTTATCACCACAAATCGGACACGGGCTATTTATTAACTGTTGGCGAGAAATCCCCGTTTGCGCAGTCAGAGGATTCGCGTGGACCAACCCGGATTTATCTTCCTGTTCATCCAACAATAAACCTTCGTGTTCAGTATTCGAATAATGCACACTCTGATCATCTTGCACGCTACGATATAATACTCCGTGGTGATGTAATGGACTATTGTGTATGTTTGGTACATTATGTCTACCCTAAATAATTAATTAATACAAATTTTTTTTTTAATATAATTTTTTTTACCTGTATAGGACTATGTGTAGGTGAAAATTGCTGAGTGGGCGAAACGGAAACGGAAACACTCGAACAACTATAACAACTCGAATGGGATGCATCACTATTATTTCTGCTTAAATTCGGGGTGAGAGTAACGTGTCGTTGAGTTAATGGGCTTTGATTGGGCGAACTAAAAACGCTGTAAGCAGAATGAACGGCTGAGTCCGGGCTGGGAGTCGGCGGAACATTGAGAGCTTTGTGCATCAGTTCTTTGTGACTGATCATTGAGGACGGAATCCCGCTGGGCGGTAGCTGATGGTTTGATTGTCGTTGACTCAACAGCGGCGAGTTGCTCGGAGTACTATGTATCGAGTAATTATGAGCTGAACTTGTGATGGGCTGTTTCAATCGCAGAACTGGACTTTCTTTCAAATCGGTTGAAGAGCAGTTTAGTTGATTGTGTTTTGTTGATTGAGATATTGAAAGATTTTCTGGAAGCTAAAAATAAAATTATTAATAATTAAAACAGATGAAAACTTCTTGAGAAATTGCTGGCTACTCTTTGCTGGACCCCATAAGAAGCGAAGATATCAGGGCAAAATGTGAAAACTAGGTAAAATCGTAGTATTACATGTTGTGACAGTCTTGCACGGGATTCGGTACATTTTAGAAAAAAAAATTTTGTACAAAAGTTGTTGCAAATTTTATTGTTAACAATTTTGCTCTTTTTCACTTTTGCTCCCAGATGAATAGTAACCGAGAAAAACACGAATATGGGAAATCTAAGCAAAATCGTCATTTTTCATTTCATTGATGGTAGCGCACAGGGGATTCGGTACATTTTAGAACAAAAGTTTTAGCACAAAAATTGTAGCAAATTTTATTGTTAGCAATATTGCTTCTTTTAACTTTTACGCCCAGATGAATAGAAACCGAGGAAAATACGAAAATATGAAAAGTAGGTGAAATCGTAATTTTTCATTTCATTGATGATAGGTAGCGCACGGGATTTGGAACATTTTAGAAAAAAAGTTTTAATATAAAAGTTGTAACAAATTTTATTCTTAACAATATTGCTCTTTTTTAATTTTGTTCCCAGATGAATAGAAACCGAGGAAAATGCAAAAATGTGAAAACTAGGTAAAATCGTAGTATTACATGTTGTGACAGTCTTGCACGGGATTTGGATTATATCAGAAAAATAACTTTAGCGTAAAAGTTGTTGCAAATTTTATTATTAACAATTTTGCTCTTTTTCACTTTTGCTCCCAGATGAATAGTAACCGAGAAAAACACGAATATGGGAAATCTAGGCAAAATCGTCATTTTTCATTTCATTGATGGTAGCGCACAGGGGATTCGGTACATTTTGGAAAAAAAGTTTTAGCACAAAAATTGTAGCAAATTTTATTGTTGACAATATTGCTCTTTTCAGTTTTGCTCCCAGATGAATAGAAACCGAAAAAAACACAAATATGTTAAAACTAGGTAAAATCGTCAGTTTTAATTTTATTGATGGTAGCGCACGGGATTCCAAGTATTTTAGCAAAAAAGTTTTAAAACAAAAGTTATTGCAAATTTTATTCTTAACAATATTGCTCTTTTTCACTTTTCCTCCCAGATGAACAGATACTGAGAAAAAATCAAATATGTGAAAAAATAGGTGAAATCGTAATTTTTCATTTTATTGATGGTAGCGCACGGGATTCCAAGTATTTTAGCAAAAAAGTGCTAGAACAAAAGTTATTGCAAATTTTATTCTTAACAATATTGCTCTTTTTCAGTTTTCCTCCCAGATGAACAGATACTGAGAAAAAATCGAATATGTGAAAAAATAGGTGAAATCGTAATTTTTCATTTTATTGATGGTAGCGCACGGGATTCCAAATATTTTAGCAAAAAAGTTTTAAAACAAAAGTTATTGCAAATTTTATTCTTAACAATATTGCTCTTTTCCACTTTTGCTCCAACATGTACAGAAACCGAGAAAAATACGAAATTATAAAAAGTAGGAAAAAGCGTTAATAATCCAGTCATCTAAAACAAAATTTAATACAATTGACAATACTTTACTGTCAAAAAATAATACGTTTTCAAGTCAAAAAAAATGTTATTATATCTTTTTTTATTAATACCCCCAATTTTCGCCGATTACTATCCCCAAGATTATTGCAGACCAGATTTATCCTGCGCTTTTAACAACAAGACGATAATTCCCCACACCATATGCGAATACAAATGCATGATAAGCGATTCTTGCGAAGAGTTTGCCTCCCTCAAATTCTCAAACATCGACCGATATTACATTTTAGCTTGGCATAATTCATACAGACACAGTTACGCCATCGGCAAAGTTAACAACATCACCGTAACGAACATGATGGCCCTCTCTTACGACGAAGAACTCGAATACATCGCATTGTGTTGGGCTAAGCGATGTGCGGGTGAAAACGATCTTTGCAGAAAAAGCCTCAAACTTGGTAATCTCGGCCAAAACATATTCGAAACGATCGATAACACAGAAGAGGTCGATCCTAAAACGTTAATGCAAATGGCGGTTAATTATTGGTTTGAGGAACACAACGATTTAAAAGGTGGCGTTAAAACGGTTTACGATAAGAAGATGATTGCGAAATCGTTTACGCAGATTATTTGGGCGAAAACGACTCATATTGGATGCGCCGCCGTTCGTTATAAAGATAGCGTCGGGATCGTTTTTACGTTAGTTTGTAATTATGGGCCGGCGGGAAATTTAAATGGAGAACATATTTATGTTGAAGGTGAACCTGGTAGTAAATGTCCAAATGGATTTAGACAGAATCGGGTTTTGACCGGGCTTTGTGGAACTAGTTCGCTTAATGTGCAAAGTAGGGAGTATAACCCTTTTAAGACTTACAATGAAACTGGAAAATTTAGGTCGAATTCGATGAAATATTGCGGTTCATTTAAATTTGTATTTTTAATTGTTTTATTTTTGCTTTTTGATTAATAAATTTCTTTTTACCTGCGAATTATTTGTTTCATCAATGCACATTTCCCTTTCCCCATCAGAAAGTTCTCCTTCCCAAGACATCGGTCGCGGTAACTCGTCGCTGCCCCTCTGTTTTTTGCTGCGCATATTAACACTCATTTGGAATTCGATTTCGGCGACTTCGGCATCGGATGCGTCCAAAGTTGGGTCGAGGATTTGGCCAGGAGGTGTTTGGCATCTCCTCCCGGGAGGTTGTCTTGATTCTCCTCCTCGGGAATGCCCGTTTGAAATCGCGGGGGGATACGAATCCATGTTGATGGGGGTTACGGAAACGTTGGGTGGCCTCATATCTGCTGCCATCCTCATCTGGAGCGTTTCCTCGTACAGTCAGCTACCCCCGTCCGATGGGAAATAATGGTGGTGGAGGCGCTGGTTAGCGGGGCTACGCATTTTTAAAACGTCCTGGAATTGAAAGAAAAATTGTTTGAGTAATGCAAAAAAATAAAAGTATCTGAGTACAAGAACGGTTGTTGATCACCTTGGCCAGTCGAGACACCGTCGGAATTTGATTTTTACGCGGCCCGAACGAACCGCTATCCGAAGCCGACGGGCCGGTGATCGGCTGTTAACAGTCTTGCGCAAAGACCGTTGCGTCACCTCACTCTGCTCTTTTACGAAACGGACCCCGCGAATTTCTTCGACGACTGAGACTGACCTTGCGTGAATCACTATATTTTTGGTACGCCCTGTACATAATACGAAATCTCCTTCGTCCGCTGCACAGGACAAAGGCGGCTCTGCTTGCTGCTGCCTGCCTACCGCGATCGGTATGTGTAAATTGTAGATCGGAATGCAAACTGAACCTGGGTGGAGCCGGGTCAGGACTCTCTAACAGCTATTTACTTACTTATTTACTATTAGGGCACGCCAGGTGATATTTCTAACACTCATTTAATGGTAAACGCAAAAATTATATATATAATTAATTAAAAAAACAATTTTTTTAGATAAAACTTATTTAAAATGTAATTCTAAGACGATTTTTTTAATAAAAAAATTTAATATCTTTGTTAGATCTCGCTGTATTGATATGAAGAAATTAATTTTTGAGGTTATGTCCTTAATTAATGGTTAAATCAAAATTTTTTTAAGATAATACTTGTTTAAAATGACGTTTTAAATAAATTATTTTAATACAAAAAATTGATATCTTTAATATTTTAGGCTGTGTAATAAATCGAATCGTGTGAATCGAGCCTTATCCTAAAAAAATTATTGGATCAAAAAAAGTTTTCTACAAAAGTTGTTACAAATTAAATTCTAAAATGATTTTCTTAATAAAAAAATTTTATATCGTGATTAGATCTCGCTGTGTATTGATATGAAGAATTAATTTTTTGAGGTTATGTCCTTAATTAATGGTTAAATCAAAAAATTGTTTAAATAATACTTGTTTAAAATGACATTTTAAATAAATTATTTTAATACAAAAAATTGATACCTTTAATATTTAAGGCTGTGTATATGTATAAATCGAATCGTGTGAATCGAGCTTTATCCTAAAAAAATTATTGGATCAAAAAAAGCTATATACAAAAGTTGTTCCAAATTAAATTCTAAAATGATTTTCTTAATAAAAAAATTTTATATCGTTATTAGATCTCGCCGTGTATTGATATGAAAAATCTATTTTTTGAGGTTATGTCCTTAATTAATGGTTAAATCAAAAAATTGTTTAAATAATACTTGTTTAAAATGACGTTTTAAATAAATTATTTTAATACAAAAAATTGATACCTTTAATATTTAAGGCTGTGTATATGTATAAATCGAATCGTGTGAATCGGGCTTTATCTTAAAAAAAATTATTAACCTCATCATCTCAATTATCCTCCAATATCATTCCTGACATCTCTCAACATCATCACAAAATCTTGGATATTTCCTTTTGCAACCCTCAACCTCATCTCAGTCATCAATTCAATGAGTGCGGGAAGTTAGCCCCCCATTTTTTGATTTTTAAATTTTTTATTGTTGTTCTAGATTGTTCTAGAGTTGTTCTACATTGTTCCAAAGCGGCAAATCGAAAAAATAAAAACTCCGCGAGAAAACCGAAAAAACGGGTTTTTTAATAGCCCCCCATTTTTGGAAAAATCAAATTTTCTTTGTTGTTCTGGGTTGTTCTAGTTGTTCTAGTTATTGTTCTAGAAAATCAAAATTATGGGATACAGCATTACGAAGTTATAACTAAAAATAGGTTTGGCCGCCGAAATGTCTAGTTGATTGCTGTGACCATAGTTTTTCTATTATCAATTCCATATTACAAATATATACTTATTATAGCTAACGCAATCTGGAACAGCTATTATTTTCACTAGAACAACTCTCTAAAGGGCACTTTACTCTTTGAAAATTAAAGTTTTTGGAAGTTTCA